AGAGTGCTTGTCCAAATTGTAATTTTTCCAAACTCTGATTCTGTGATGTTTCCTGCAGACGACGCGGAATGCCCAGCAATAGAACATGAGTAGATCATAAGTAGTGAAGATCTTAGAAAACACATTAAAATATCAGGAAATGCAGAGCTCCCTTTATTTTTATTTTCCTACTCAAAACAATAATAGAGGAACCTTAAAGATTCCATGCCCTTTCTGCATGCATGGAAACTCCAGCATGTGGACAGAAATTACACATTTCTCTTTCTAGTGGAATATTCTGTGGCATATGCAGTGCAGTGCAAGCTCAGAAGTAAATCCCAGTATACTCAATGGGACTTATTCTGATATATGTGTTTGTAAGCTGCCTTGGGTGTGGCTTTCTTTTAGTGGAATGGCAGGGTATTATATAAATAAATGAATAAACAAACAAACAAACAGGAATGCAGCTTAATGCCGCCAACAGCCAGTGCAGTATATTGATTAGGACCTCAGAAATTAAGAATTAAATGACTATTTTGATTTGGATCCCTGTAAAGCTTATTGAGTAAAGTCAACATCACTTACCTATCTCACAGGGCTGTTGCGTGGCTTAAAAGGAAAGTGGTCCACATATATTGACCTGGGAACCCAATGTCCGGGGTTGAAAAATTCCACATACTTTGCTGGAAATACTTATTTCCTTCCTTCCTGTTGCTGCCCCATTTGGGGTAGTGCCCGAGGGTATGAAGAAGAAAGAACATTTCAGGTCAACTGTGGACATACTTCTCTCTTGCCCAGGCTGTAATGAAAACCCCTCTCTCTATGAGAGGCCAGACCAATCCAGAGGCTTGATCTGTCTCCCAATCACAAATCTGCATGCCTCTATCTTTGAAGAGGAGGCAGAGTGTCAAGGCTTGGCATTGGGGGCCAGCCCTCAGCCCAGCAGGAAGCCTAAGGCCAAAGGCGAAGTCCTGGGTCTGCTGCTCCTTCTACACTGCCTCTTAAACTTTTCCGCAGGAGTGAGCACCAGCAGGAGTAAGGACAAGAAGCAGCAGCAAATTCTGTTTTCTTTACAGTTTTCCTCTGGATCATTATATCTGTGAAGATTCTCAGTCACCCAGGTGAGGTTATCTGGAAGCTGAGGCAACTGGACTTCTTTCTTCTCAGGTTGAAATGTTTCACTGCTCATTCAGGTAGCGGACGAAGAAGCTACTTTACATCAGTGTTCAAATCTGAACTGTGCCCAGAAGAAACATCAAGCAAAACACAGTGCTGAGAAATATTAATTTGGGGAATTATAACTCTGAGAATATCTTCAGATGGCATTCCTGGCAAAAGAAGAACATAAAAGAGAGGGGAATGCTGGTGGCATTTTGACAACATGTGACATGACAACCCCCTGAATATTTTGCTGCCTGAGGCCAAATGGCCACCTTTTCCATCCCTAGTCAAGTTATACAGTACCAAAGACCAGCCAAGCCATTTTTTCACCCAAGGCAGAAAAATCCCATTAAAAACCCTCTGTGGCAATAAAAAATGCATTGATAATCAAATACATATGGAAACATTTTGCAGGCCTTTCATGACACTGCAGATCAGTTGCTTGAGGCAACTTCCTTGAGACAGCTTGAGTTGCTGAAGCATCCTCAGAATATATAGTTTGTAGCAGCCCAGCAGCCTTGAACATGGCTTCACTTGAGATTTACAACTCAAATCCTTGGGCAAGCTAACTTTAAAATAGGTCCCCTCCCCTTTGAGAATCAAGGTGGGGGAGGAACAGTTCCAACCATCACCTTCCAATGATTACCATTAACTTCAGTTACCTTCAACTGCATTAAGTGCTCTGGGGAGAAAATAGCTGTTAGCCTGACTTCAAGAGACGATAGATTGGTGTTTGCTCGACTCTTTTCTTTGTTTTGGTATCATGTCATAGTTTCACCGCAAAATTCCATTTGAGTGGCTAGATGATAAAATGAAGCACTCTCAATTTAGTGCAGGGGGAACATTGAGTTCAAGCGTGTAACTGCATCATATTACAACCTGTATTCTCAGGACTGTTCTTCAGTATTTTCTTAGTTCATATTAGAAACACCACAGTACGATGAATAAATATATCAGAGGATTTTTACCTATAATACGCAACATCGAAAGCATTTGGGGCAGCTAACATAAGGTAAAGGTAAAGGTTCCCCTTGACAATTTTTGTCCAGTGGTGTTCGACTCTAGGGTGTGGTGCTCATCCCTGTTTCCAAGCCATAGAGCGAGCATTTGTCCGAAGACAATCCTCCATGGTCACATGGCCAGTGCGACTTAGACACGGAACGCTGTTACCTTCCCACCGAGGTGGTCCCTATTAATCTACTTGCATTTGCATGCTTTCGAACCGCTAGGTTGGTGGGAGCTGGGACAAGCAACGGGCGCTCATTCCGTCACGTGGATTCGATCTGACGACTGCTTGGTCTTCTGACCCTGCAGCACAGGCTTCTGCGGTTTAGCCCGCAGCGCCACCACATCCCTCACTAGCTAACATAAAGTATTCCACCATACACATTGGGGGGGGGAGGCACAATGTTCTTCACTGCACTCACATAGGATTGTGTTGGTCCAAAACCCTTAATTTTTAAGGTTCATCTTGGTTTTGCCAACTCCAGTTTGTAATCAGTTAACTGCTGGATACTCAGTGGTTTAGGAATCTGGCATCAGAGCCAGATGTTGGCAGTTCCCCAGTGTGCCTCCTTGATAGGGACTGGACAGGATGATCCATACGGTCCCTTCCACCTCTGCAATTCTAAGGTTGTTATTGTTGTTGCTGATTTTTATGCAAACCAGTTCTCCATGTGAGTAAGGAATAGGCATTCCTTGGGGTTCTATCTATGTTAGAGGTGGGTAGTTCTTTCTTTCCATATTCTTCAGCAGAGGATGCACTATAATTAAAAAGTTGCTTAAACGTCATATGATTGTGTAGCATCACATGACTGGTCAAATCTTTTTGACTGTGAGCCTGTTATACGTAAAGAAGCTTTGATTAGCTTAGGCAGTTACAACCATAGTTTCAAACTGTTATGTTTTTTGGACTGCAAGTCCCAGAACTTTCCAAACAGCATGGCTATTTTCAAACTCAGTTGAGTGTGGAGGTGTCATTCTTGCACTGGTAATTTTTCTTTGTTGCTTAATAGCCCAGTCTCACAATTTTGACAACTGTTATGATTGTTCAGCCAAATTATCTCTCCCTAGGAGTTGTTGCCGCTGTTGTTATGTGCCACCAAGTCACCTCCGACTTATGGCAACACTATGAATGAGTGACCTCCAAAATGTCATATCAATAACAGCTCTGCTCAGCTCTTGCAAACTCCTTTAATGGCTTCCTTTAAGGAGTTGGTTGGTATGCTTCTTTTCCTGCTGCCTTCAGCTTCTCTTAACATTATTGTCTTTTCCATTGAGTCATGTCTTCTAACAAATTCGATCATTTTTGTTTCTAAAGTGAGTTCAGGAACCCCATATGAGTATCTCCCCATATAAGCCTGCCAAATTTTGTAATCTTCAGGACAGTACTTTATTTCAGTCCTGCCATGCTCACAGTGATACTAGGTGAGAATTCATGAGAGAGTCTTCTCAGTGGCTGTTCCCAGGCTATGAATCTAGACTGGCTCCCTTCCCAGTTGTCTTTGTAAAAACAAGCAAAGACATTTTTATTTAGCTAGGCATTTGGCCACTGGTCACCTGATAAGCAAGTACCTTTTAATGTGGTGTGTTCTATTTTTTGTTATTTTTTAGTTTTTAGATAATCGTTGTTAAAACTGAGTTGAATTGATGTTTAATATAATAAACTCTCAATACAGTTTTATCACTGTAATCTATTGCATTTTTAAACTCATTCTGTTTTTAAACATATGTTTTATGCCAATTTGGATACTACAAGGAAGCAATGCATGATATAAATTAAGTACATGAACTATTAAGCTCATTCAGATATCAAAAAAACCAGATTATGAAGCAATGTGGGAAATGTATGAATAAGTAGGGGGAGACCCATTCAATCATTCCAGTCTACAATTTAATTTATATTCAGTTTCTCCTAGATTCAATTGGAAAATGGGCTGAAATGCTGGTTAGTTTGAATAACTGTAGGGTTAGAAGTAGAACATATATAAAAGTTTAAAAATTATTAGTATGCTATAGGTAAGAAAATTATTGGAAGTGTAACTGTATTTATAGGTAATTATTACTTTTTTCTTTTTTGTTATGTGACTAGAGGACAGTAACTTCTTCTTCTTCTTCTTCTCCTTA